AATGCTGGAGAGCATGAAAACGTGAGGGGGAATTCTTTTTCATGGGTGGGAACAAATTTTACCATCTCAGAATCTATCTTGCTGATGTGTGTGATTCTGAGATAAGGAGACCATATGCTTTTGAAGACTACTGTTAATGCCTACAGGAGTTTATAACTCATTTTTCCAAATGCTCCACTATGCCTGTAAAGAAAGCCAGGTCTGTAAATACATTTCATGCTTTATCTTGCCTGTGTGGAAATAACCCACACAGCTCATTTTCAGATTGAAAAAAAAAGTTGGAACATCTATATCTATCTGTGCCTTCCTTTCCATTAAGTGCAGTTCTTTACTAACTTTGAGTTTATGTCTCCTTTAGAATCATCCACAGGTTTTCTGTTGTTGTTGTTTTTTTCTCCCAAAATTACACACTCCTTCATCCTCCTTCCCTGAGTCTTTCAAGATGAGAAGTGCTGGGGGTTGTTTGTTTGTTTGTTTTTATTTTTACACGTCACTGCAGCCAATCTTAGCCACTTTGGCATCCAGGCTCATTGCCCACATACACTTGTCAATATGAGAAAACAGGAGGCCAAGAATTACAAAATGGCTCTCCTTTGGTTGGACTTCAGTACCCAGGCAACCCAAATGAACAAAAACCCTGAGCACAGACAAACAATAATTGTTCCCTGTCCTCTGGCCCTTTGCAAATAAATCCCTTACACAACCTGCTGGGCCACCTCACTTGGAGCTGCCCAGCAAGGAACAGCATGTCAGCCAGCTGGGGCTTTGCCTTTGCAATCTGCATTTTAGAAATAAGTGTCCTCACTGCAGATCTTACTCTCAGGTGAGTCCGTTTGCCTATGGAATTTCACTGTGGATTGGTATTTCAAGGTCTGTTTCTTAGCAGCAAAGTAGGTAAAAGTGTTAATATACATACAGCCTCAGAATTAAACTTGAAAAGAGGTCAGAAAATACATAGGGTACAGTTTTGCAAGTTTTCTTTGGAAACCCGCTGCTGTTTCTGGGATTTCTTTTAAACAAGGTATTCAGATGTTAAGGTTGAGATAGTCTTTAAATACTTGGGATTATGAAATAAAGCTGGTTTTCACCAGTATGATAAACCTAGGTTTATCAGTGCCCAATGTCTGAGATGTTTAAAAGTAAGGAAATTAATCTTTCCCTCAGTCTGCCTCAATGTCTAACACTTTTAACTGTTGGATACATCTCCCCTTTGTTTCTATGTTAGACAAAGGTTGACCACTTTGCTTCTCTTCCTTGACATCCCAAGTTGTGTTCACATTTTGTTTAGGGTCATTTGGGGCTTAGGGTTGTATTTCTTCCATTCAAAAAGAATCACCATGATGCAGGCCTGTTGCTCATTCTTCCAGCAAAGACACTTTTTCTCCTTTTCTTCTAATCCTAATTGGGATCGCAAAGCCCACGCCAAGCCCATCCGGGAAATAAATCACCCAGACAGTAATTGCTTACTGAACATCTACACCGTGCCTAGAAACGCTGGATGTTGGAGTCACATAAGGCATCCTTCCTTCCATCTTGTAGTCATGGGAGAAGACACTAACCTGTATGATCCAATATAGTATGATCCATTCTGGTGGCAGTATTGAAATATTCCTGACTTTCAACAGTATAATTGAAAATGCCTGCCCAAACACTTCTTATGGCCAGACATAACTGTGTCCTCATCCAATTCCTCTTTGGTCACTTGACTCTCGGTTTAACCAAATTCTGTTTTGGACTCTGATGTCCATCTCCACCACATCTTTGCTTGTCTCTCAGCTGCAGCTGCAGACTGCCATTCAGCCTGGGCTCCACTCACCACGAGGTTTGTTCCCAGGGATGCATCTTCCAGGAGGGGCCCCATAAGGTGCACACACACCAGCACAGGCCCTGCGTCACCTACTCAGTCAGCCCTTCCTTCATCCCATCACCTCCTCTTTCTGCATTGTCTAAAAAGCATCGTGCCATTCAGAAAATATTTCTGTTTTGTGGGCATCTGGGTATAAACGAGATTTGGAAAGGCAGTTACTGCAAGTTGCTTTAGCCCTTGAACTTCACCTGACCCTTTCTTAAGTTAAAAAATAATAATAATAATAATTTAAACAACCCACATTCCTGGATTGGGGCTCCTGCTGATCAAAAATGAGTGGCTGTGGGGAAGGCTTCAGTTGCTTTGAAGTTCGTACCCCCTGGGTGCTGGCCACACTCAGCTGTTTCAGGAAGGACCGGAAAGCCCCTCAGCTGGCCCCCGGCTCGGAGCAGCTGCGCGGCAGAGTTTGCTTTGGCTCCATGAGCTCCCACCGCCACGCCCACGCCAGTTCGTCGGGGTGGCCCTGCTCCGAACACCCCGTGCTCTGCCCTTTGACAGAGGGCTGAGGTCAAAGCAGAGTGTTCAGAGATATCGGTCATGAAGTGACACAAATAATTTGCTTGAATAATAGCTAACTTAAATTTGCAAATGATTTTTAAAAATATACATTTGGTTAGAATGGAGTGTTCCTCTCCAGTTAGACTTCCCGACCTCAGACCAAGGTGCCATTGCTTACCAACCATATCAGTCTGGGCAAGGTGCTTGGCCTCTCTGCACCTTAGTCCCCTCATCTGTAAGATGTTGACTGTATTCATCTTCCAGGGCTGCAGTAACAAAGTACCACAAACTGAGTGGCTTCCAACAACAGAAATGTATTGTCTCACAGTTGTGGAAGTTGCAAGTGCCAAGTCAAGGTGTCGGCAGGGCCATGCGCCTTCAGAGACCCTGGAGAGGATCCTTCCTAGTGGTGGCCAGCAATCCTTGGCATCCGTTGGCTTGCAGCTATGTCATTCCAATCTCTGCCTCTGTCTTCACATCATCTTCCCTTTGTGTATGTCTTTTTTATAAAAATTTCCCCTTTTTTTAAGGATACCAGTCCTATTGGATTAAGGCCCAACCTAATGACTTCATTTCAACTTGGTTATCTCTGTAAAGACCCTATTTCCAAATAAGGTCACATTCTTATTTGGTAGTAGGACTTAGGATTTCAATAGATCTTTTGGAGGAGGGGGGAGACAAACACAATTCAACCCGTAACAGTGATAATGAAAGCATCTATCTGATAAGATTTTTGTGAACATGAAATTGTTATACATGTAATTTATTTTTAACATCTGTACCTGGTACATTGCAAGAATTCAGTGAATGTCAGGGATTTTTTGTTTGCTTGCTTGTTTTTAAATAATAACCATGCTGTTGCTTTGATATGCTTTGTTGTTCAGGAAAGGAAAAGTTGGTGTTATAGCTAGCCTTCGGGGATCACATGGCTGCAGACACTTCATCTTACTGGTCAACTGTTGGGGATTTCTCTTTTTTTATTTCAGGATATTAAGGGGGTACAAATGTTTTGGTTACATGCCTTGCTTTTGTACTGCTTGAGTCAAAGTTATAAGAGTGCCCATCACCCAGATAGTGTACACTATACCTGCTAGGTGTGATTTCACCCTTCCTTTCCTCCCTCTCCCACCAGAGATTTCTAACTATCATTTTTCAAACAAAGACTAGTGTGCCCATGAAAATTGGCCATGAGGGGACCATCATCTCCTATTTTTATCAAGGTAGAACAGAAATGTTAAAAACCACTGTGAGAGCAGAAAAATAGCCCAGAGCATAGTTTCTGGAGCCGGGTGGCTGAAGCCTGATTCCAGGCTCCACAATTTACTAGCTGTATGCTCTACACAAATTCCCTAACTTCTCTAAACCTGTTCCTCACCTGCAAAATGGGAATAATAATGTGACTTGCTGTGAGGAATACCTGAGATGATAAAATACAGTGACCTCAGCAGTGTCAGGCAAACATTAAGAGCTCTGTGAGTGTAGCTATCATCACTTTTTTTCTTTTTACTTTGTAAATGACAAAATATTCACATGGTTCAAAGGTCAAAAAATATAACAAGGCATACATTGAGAAGTCCTGTTTCCCTACTCATAACTTTTCATGAAATCTGTACCATGACACGTAAGGACTTAAAACGCTTCCCCCTCCCACCTCAGCCTTCCTCTACAGGTAACCACATATTTGGGTTACTTATGTAACCTTCCCGTATTTCTTTTACAGATTAAAGCATAGAGTCATAATCTTATTCTTTTCTTTTGCAAAAGGAATAATATTATATCTACTACCTTGTCATTTGCTTTTTTTTTTTTTTTTACTTTATATTATATCCTGGAGAACTTCTTATATTCATATGAGAAAGCTTCCTCATTCTCCTCGTAGCTAATTAATCTTCCATTGTGTGAATAAACAGCCGAGGCAACCTGTCTCTTACTGAAGAAAATTCAGATTGTTTCCAATCTCATGTACTGGAAATAATGTTGCAGTGAGTGAACTTATTTGCATATCATTTTGTAATTGCACTGGTATACCTGAGAATCAATTCCCAGAAGTGACATAAGTGGGTCAAAAGGTAATCACCTTGGTGACTTTGCTAAAATGGCCCTATTTGTATTATTTTGCACTTTCACCAGCAGGATATGAGAGTGCTTGTGTCCCACAGTCTTGCTAATAGGAGCTATAGGCCAACTTTTTGATATTTGTCAATCTCATAGGTTAAAAAATGGTATCTTGGCATAGTTTTAATTTGCCCTTCTCCTGTTGAGTCAAGGTGCACATTTTTTCATACATTTGAAGGCTGTAGGTATGGTTTTCTTTGTAAACTGTCCATGTCCTCTGTCCTTTCTTCTATTCAGTCTCTTGTCTTTCTCTAGAGATTTCTATGATCACTTTATAAATTAGTCCTTTGTCTCTGTTATGAATTATAGATATTTTCCCAATTTGACATTTGTCCTTTGACTTTATATGTGGTATGTTTTAGTAGAGTTATAATTTTCATATTTAATTTATTCTTCACTTTTCAAATTGCTGGGAAGGAGTACTAGCCTGGTAGTTAGAAGCTGCTGTGTAACATGAGGGAAACTCCTTACCTTCTCTGTGGCTCAATTCCTCCTATTTAAAGTATGATAATAACAGTGATATTGTATATGTTTCAGGGCTGATCTAGGGCTCTCTAAGTGAGGGTTGATAATGAATATTAACCCTTAAGGGAAGAGTTCCTGACTCAACTAAGCACTCATAAGTGTTAGCAATTATCACTTAATTTAATTTAGTTAAATTTATCTCAACAATCTGGAAAAACACCCAAACATCCATTAATAGAAAAGTTGGGCCCAACAAACTGAAGATGTCCAAAATGGCAGTTTTACTCCTACTTTGGTATATTCACCATTTTCATGTTCAATATAAGTTAACAGGCATTTATTTATCAACTACTATTACCCAAATACAGTCTTTTGTTTATTTGTCCATTTAATACAGCAAAGAGGTACCAAGTCTGCAGCATGGGCCAGACGTTGTGTCAGGAGCTGCAGTACATGTTGAGCACATTGCTGAGGGTCCCTGTCCCTGTTCTCACTGGGCTTACAGTCTAGTGAGGAATGCTAACAAGGGAGCAGTAACTGCAACTCAGCCAAGTCCCCTGTGTGATGCTAAAAGAGGCATGCTCCTCTGAGGCCACCAGTCCACTTACATACTGGCTTCCTCGGTGCTGGCCTAACCCGAGGACTTTGCTCCTTTAATTCTGACCCTTCTTTCCTGCATCATCAATATTTCCCTTTGTATCAAATCACTCCATCAGCATAAAGACATGTAACATTCCCTTTAAATGTTGGCACAGTCCTCTGCATTACTCTAGACACTCCCTCACATCCAGTCTCGTGGTGTGAAATTCCACTTACATTCCCACAGCCCCCACAGCTGCGTCTGCTGTGCAGATCCCTTCCCTGAGTCCAATGTCCAATTGCTTATTCAACATCTCTTCCTGAAATTCTAATAGGTAACACAAACTTAACATGTCCAAAACACACCTATTGATTTCTCTACCCATTCCCACCCACCCTGCCCCACTATTCACCATGTTACTCATATAAAAATCTGGGAATCAGACTTGACTCCTCTATTTGTACCATTCCCACATGGAACCTAACAGTGAGTCCTGTTGGTACTACCTTTAAGACATGTGCCTCTCACTGTCTCCATGGGGACTCTTTAAGCCTAAATCACTATCATTTCTTGCCTACATCCATTCTTGTCCACTCCCCAATTGTCGATTCTCAACCCAGCAACAAGAGAAATCTTTGGAAAACACAAATATGAGTGTTACTTCTGCTCTCAAACTCCTCTAAGAATTGTAAGCAAGCTCAGCATCAAATCCAAAACTCTAGTCCAGGCCTACAGAGTAGAGTCACATCCTGCCCTTATCTCCAGGTATATTTGCACTGTCTTTTTTGCTCATTCTGCTCTAACACCATATTTGCTCAGGGCTGATCTGAGCCACCTCAGGGCCTTTGTATTTATTTTACCCTCAGCTCAGAATGCTTTTTCCAGGCCCTCACACAGCTTCCTCTCTGAATGCATTCAGGTACCTAATCAAATATCACCTCCTATACTATGCAGTTTTTGTTGTATAAACATATTCCAAAACAGTATCTTAAAACAATAGCAATTATTTCTTTTGCTCATGAATCTGAAGGTTACCTGGGCAAAGTTGAGTCATTCTTGGTTGTAGTCAGATGGTGACTGGAGCTAGGGTCATCTTGATCGATGACTTCCTCACTCACATGTCTATCATCTGGGCTGAGAAGACTCAAACAGCTGGGGAGCTGGAGAGTGGACTGAGGGTAAGTGGCTTCATACATAGTGGTGAAAGGCTCCCAGCACAACTGTCTTTAGATAAATTCATAGACCTTTCATGGCCTCTGTAATCTAGCCTTGAAAGTCATGCAGCATTGCTTCCTCTGCATTCCTCATCAAGGCAGTCACGAAGGCCAAACCAGCCTTAAGAGAAGGGCACATAGACCATGCTTGAAGCACCACACCTCCTCTGAGAGGATTCTCTCACTACCCTCCCTCCCAACTCCAGTGCCAGAGCATTCTCTATCCTCTTACTCTGCTTAGTTTTCCTTCATAATTCCTATGTCTTAACTAATAGTACATGTTATCTTTTTTGATGTATTTGTTTGTTGTGTCTTGCCTGCTAGAATGTAGGCCCCACGATGGCAAGGAATTTGCCTGTCCTGCAGCCCCAGCCTCTAGAACAAATCCTGCCATGTAGCAGGCGCTCAGTAAAGGATGCCGGATGTTGGCTCATGGGGAGCACATGAGAGAAGCTCTTAAATAAAGCTTGAGAAAGAAGGTCCTGAAAAAAATTAGTGTTGGACACTCTTATTATATTATCTTTCCATTTTGATAAATAACATGAACTAAACAAACTGGCAGGTCCATTGGTTATACAGGTAGTCCTAATTAGCTTATATTTTTCCACTCCAAGAAGCCACGTCGTCTTATTTATTGACAAAAAGATTCTTCCATACAACAGGTGCTTTCTAGCCTGGGCCCATGACAGTGACCTGGCATGAGAGCTTCTACTGGGGTTTTCTTTTTCTAAAGCTGGAAACTTCTCTTTGTGGCAGGAAGATGGGACCAGGTGTACATCAGTGGCCCCATGTTTAATGCATTTCTGACCCAGAGTTAGACTTCCTGCCATGTTGATCTACATCACTTTGATCTAGCAAGTGATTTTCAAGCTGAAATTGAAACACTTGGAGACACATTTTACTTGATAAACACATTTCATCTAAGAATCCAGAAAGTGCTTTACAAATACTTCTTCACTCAGCCTAATAGCTCAGCAGGGTGACAGGCAGGTGGTGAGTGTTGTACATGTGCAGCCCTTGAGCTACAAAAGACTATCTGCTGAGTGAGTTAAAGGGGCTGTTGAAGTGGGCTGAGCTCAGAGGGTGAAACACAGAAGGAGCCATTCAAGATCACTGGTCTCCTTTCTTAATATTTATGCAGCATCTTCGTGTCAGTACTTCATTTCATACTCGTTTTGCATGACTTCTTATTCCTTCCTAATAATTTCCATGAGTTTTACCTTTATTGTGCCTCCACTGATCCAGTACCTGACACAGTGAAGGCAAAACAATTAACAGGTGTTAAAACAATTTTCAGTTTACTTTTGCCTAACTTGACATCCTTTAGGTGTAAGCTTAAAATAGATCCAGGCAAGAACCAGGTTGTCCAATTGATGTTCTTTACCCAAAGCTGCTATATTTTTTTAAATGCTTGCATTCTTGTTAACTTACTGTCTCTTAAAATGTCTAAAAATCATGAGGCTACCATATGCAGAAATTGTTGAATAAGCTATGACCACTTAGCTTATTTCAAAGATGATTTGTGTTGGGGAAAAACAGGCAGCGCAGAGGATAAGGAAAAACAGTACGGAAGTTGGAATGGAGAGACGTGGATTCCAAATCGAGTTTGCTATTAACTATCCAACTTTGGATAAGTACTGTAATTCTCTGTTTTTAGTTTCCCATATGTAAAACAGAACTAATAGTACTTAACAAATTTACCAATCAAAGGGAGAATAAAGGTTTAAGAGAAACTGAGCTTGGATAACTGTTTAGTAAAATTAATTGACAAATATAAGGTATTACTTAATCAAAAAACATTTCTGAGTGTTATGAGCTGAATTGTGTCCCCCCAAAGTTTGTATGTTGAAATCCTAACTCCCAATACCTGCTAATCTGAGTGTATTTGAAGTTAGGGGTTTTAAAGAAGAAATTAAGGTAAAATGAGATCATTAGGATGGGTCTTAATCCAATATGACTGGTATCCTTATAAGAAGGGAAATTTGGACACAGACATGAGGGAAGACCACATGCAAACACAGGGAGAAGATAGCCATGTATAAGTCAAGGCGTGAGACCTCAGGAGCCAATCCTGCCATACCTTGATTTCAGACTGCTAGCCTCAGAATGGTGAGAAAATAAATTTCTGTTGCTTAAGCCACCCAGTCTGCAGTACTCTGTCATGGTAGCCCTAACAAGCCAGTGCACTGGGCCTAAGCTCTAGAAGGATGTTTCGTCCTGCTCCCAGGGCCAGGGTGTAATCTGTCAGGACCTTCTTTATGGGGATAGGTTGGGTCATTCAGGGAATGAATTCAAATCATAGCCCAGGAGGGCAATAAAAGGCAAAGATCTGATGAATTGTACTAAGTCCAAAGTGTGAGTCATACCTTTTAAAATGAAAAGAGTCCTTAAGTTAGAAGCTAAGGAGGAAGTGAATAAGTGTGCATACTGGCAACGTGGGGCTATTATTATTGCAGAGGATACCAGAGAAACACCTATAGGCAATGTCAGTGCCTGGTCACTGAACTGTGGGGCAGATTCTAGATTTATCCAATACAGGTCTATAACCCACTCTGGAGTATTTGCAGTGAGCTTTTCTCTCCATGCATGATCCTCCAGCCTGTACTAGATTCTCTGAAGCAGCATTCACTGAAGCTAGTTGGAGTGGTAGGTGAGGAAGATAAAGGTTTCTGGAACCAAGGAAGTAATATGTCTTGGGAAAATACTGAAACAAAATGCTAACATGATCATCTAGTAAGTGGTAAATACAAAAGAGACAAGCGGGAACAGATAATCCAATTCAAGGAGACAGTACTAATACTGAAGACACCAAATGATACTCGAAAGATATCAACAGATATCTTTATATAGATCAACAGATATTAACAGAGATGTTAATAGACAGAGCCCAGAGTAATTCTTGAAACCAATGATAGCCCCCCGCTCAGTGACATTTTTAGGTCAATGATGGCCTCAGTCTTGGGTAATGACATAATGATTACCCCCACAACTACTGGAGATTTCTACTGGATGCTGTCAAGCAGTGTTTTTCAATATTGTTTGAACATGAGAATCACTGGGGTAGTTTTTTTAAACCACTGATGCCTGGTGCCAGTCCTCAAGAAGACTGATTTAATCAATATGGAATGGAAACACAATTTTGCGATTCCTATTTTTAGTATCTAAGGATTACAATATGCACTCAGTATTGAGACTCGCTGCTATAGAACATAAAGGTGCATCTGCTATTGCCTCTTAATGAGGCCTGTCAGTTCTATAAGAGGCTTTAGTTCTATGGAAACATTCGAGGAGAAAATTCCTCATCATGTGGTTTCAGCTATACACTAATACCCAGATTTCCAAAAATGCAGGTTCTCTAGGAGTTTTAGAAGCCTATATAATACCCTTTTAACTGCACTTTTAGAAGATAGAAGCTCACCAGGCCTCCTGATATTCTGGATGATGCAGGCAAGGATTGGTCTTATAAAAATTCTGTCTCCAGTTGTGAAGTGTGCCTTAATGACAGACAAGTCTTGCCCAAAAAACATGTGGGTGGTTCACCAGGAGATCATACGCTAGACAAATACAGGCCTAGATTTGCCCCAAACCACATGACCAAGGACTTCCTCCCTCTTTTTTCATTTAGTTATTACTTTATTCATTGAAAAACACTTCCTGGGCACCTACTATTTTCCAAGTACTTAATATGCAAGCTGAACAAGATAGAAAAGTTCCCGAGCTCATTGATACTTTTAGGTAGAATGTAAACTCCATTAGTTCAGGGATCATGGTTTTTTTGTTTTGTTTTGTTGTTTTGAACACCATTGTGTCCCCATTCTTAGCCAACAGTAGGCAATTAATAAATATTCGATGAGTCAATAAGTGAGCAAATAAATAAATTAATTAAAAGAAATATGGAACAAGATGCTCTAAGAGTATGTACATGGAAAATTAAATTACACAAGGAGGTTAAGGAAGGTTCTTAGAAAAAAATGGATAGCCAAGATGAGATCAATGTGGTGAATAGGGAGTAGCACAGTCAAAGGACTGAAGACATGGAAAAAAAAGTGGCTTGTCTTGAAAATGTAAAGTTCAACGTGGCTAGAGCTTGGTGGAGAAAAGTGAAGTTGGAAAGTTTGGAAGAGGATAGGCCATACAGAGCTCTCTAGGCAATGTGTATTAGTTTCCTATTGCAGCTATAACAAAAGACCACACACTTAGTGGCTTAAAACCCAAATTTATTATCTTACAGTTCTGGACATCTGAAACTCAAAATAGTTTTCACTGGATTAAAATCAAGGTGCTAGTAGGACTGGATTCCTTTATGGCAATTCTAGGGAAGAATCGTTTCCTTGCTGTTCCCAGATTCTAGAGCTGCCTGCATTTCTTGGATCACTGCCTCCTTTTTCCAATCTTTAGAGTCAGCAATAGAACAGGTGGAATCCTTTTTCATGTTTTGAATTTCTCTTGCCTCTTCTGTCTTCACATCTCTCTGACCCACTATTCTGCTTTTAAAAGCTCATGTGATTAGAATGGGCCCACCCAGATAATATAGGATTACTCTCCCCTTAATCACATCTGCAAAGTAGCATAGGTTCCAGTGATTAGGACATCAACATCTTTGGGAGTCTTTATTCTGTCTATTATACCATGTTAGAAAATTTGGACTTTATCACAAGAGTGATGGGATGTTGGGGAAATATAATTGAGGAATTACTGAGCTGTGGCTCATAAGATCATTATTTTATTGTATCGCCCAATATTGCCATATTAAAGACAGAAACAGGAGTTTGCATGGTTTTGCCCTGAAGAAATATGTGAGCTCACTAGTTCACTTATCAGGGGCTGCTTCCGCCTTGGGAGGGCTCTCAAGGCTCCCGTAAGGATGTTTTCCAAAAGGCTTCATGGTTATCTTGTCTGTGGAGCATTCCTGTTTCTTGAAAGGCAAAAACAGGTAAATATCTGGC